GAGGAGGAGGAGGAGGAGGAGCAGGAGGAGGAGGAGGAGGAGGAGGAGGAGGAGGAGGGGGAGGGGGAGAGCGGAGAGCGCCGCCTTTTCAAAAGGGGGCTCTCGCCGTGGCGCCGTGCGCACTCGTGCTTGAAACAGATCTGGCAGTTGCAGGTGCGGAGGGCGGCTCTTGGCTTCCAAGGCTTCCTCAGGGCTTCCTCAAACTGGCTTGCCACAAATACAGTGGAGGCCAGTTCACGAGCAACCTTCCACAAGAAACCCGACCCTGAGGCCTCAGGACGTCCATGGATTTTTGGTGTGGGAACGTCGCGCCTTCCACAACGAAACCGTCGGAACCCCAGACACCCAGGGCACCCTGGAGGCAAGCAGGGTGTTTCGCATGGCCCCCATTGCAAAGCATGTGCAGCAATTACACTCGCGCAGGGCGGCTCCATTCCACGACCACGTCATCGCTTGAGGCTCCGCCTGTGTTTGAGATGGCACGTCGGTCGGTAGACGCAGGTCGACCCACGACGTAGGAGGGCGGATAAAGCGGATTGGGCTCAGGCCGTCCCAGGGAATAACAACCTACAGCAGAAGCTTAACGATTCCTGAAGTAGGAAGGTGCTTGAAATAGTGTTGGGAACCGGGGATCCAACACACCCACTTCCAACAACCGACGGGTAGCTGCCCCCGCCACGATATCCCACTACGCCTCCCAGTCATCACGCCCCCTCGTGGACGCCCTCGAGACGAGGAAGCCCACGAGCAGGTCAAGCCGTAGATGTGATCTGGGGATCCAAAAATACATACTTTCAACGGCCGGCGTGGCAAGTCTGACTCGTGCAACAGTTACACGGATGGGGGGCTGTCTCCAGTGAAAGCGGCGCGCTGGCCACCTCCCGCCATGCGATAACCGTCGAAGGGGCGCCCAGACGCATCCGTGTCGCGTGGCCCAGCCTTCGGTGCTTGAGCAGCTTCCTTCCAGTCCAGCTAGCACCTCGCTGAGTGATGTGTTCTCAGCGTGGCTGTGGCGGCAAGTTGAACCGTTCCGGATTGGCTGAACTTTATTGCCCCGCCTTGTCGCAGCCTGTGCAGCTCGAAGGACGGAGGAGGGCAGCTTCTGTCAATTCAAAAGCTCCCGCCCGAACTACGAGCCCACAAGGGCGCTCGTCTCTCAAGGGGGCGTCCCGCGCTGTGGAGAAGAAGGCTCGCGTGTTAGGAGGCAGCTACAGGGAGGCCTTCTTCGGAAGGATGGACAAGGATTAAGCCTCATCTGAGGACTGCTACGCCAGATTAGGCCGCGGATTGAGCGGGAGCAAGCTGGACTAAGCGGGATTAAGCGGAATTCAGCCGGATTAAGCGGGATCTCGGACCAAGGCAAAGTTAGAATGTGACCTCCCAGGAGTTGCATCCGAACGTGCGGAACTACTGCGGAGGGGGCTCGAGACGGGAGGGTATATTACATAATCGTTGATACATATTGGGTTTACTCTGGCCCTCCTCCTCCTCCTTCTCCTCCGGCTCTTCTCTCTCCCTCTTCGTCCTCCCCCTCCTCCTCCCTCTCCTTCTTCGCCTCCTCTGCCTACCCCTTCGAGCTTCGCGAGCCGCTGACCGTTCTGTGCTGCACCTTCCTCCTCCTCCTCCCCCTCCCCCTCCCCCTCCTCCTCCTCCTCCTCCTGCTCCTCCTCCTCCTCCTCCTCCTCCTCCTCCTCCTCCTCCTCCTCCTCCTCCTCCCCCATCCTGCTCCCTTCCAGCCCCGCAGGGCGCGCACAGCCCCCGAGGGGAAAACGGCGCACGAGCCTCCCAGAATCTCTGAGATCCGGCGGCTCTGGAGGGATGCCTCGGGCGCCGCGGCGTTCTCAGAGCGTTCCGGAACGCTCTGCAGGCGTCCTGGAACGCGGAGGAGGAGGAGGAGGAGGAGGAGGAGGAGGAGGAGGTAGGAGGAGGAGGAGGAGGAGGTAGGGGGAAGGGGGAGGAGGAGGGAGGAGAGGAGGAGGAGGAGGAGGAGGAGGAGGAGGAGGAGGAGGAGGAGGAGGAGTAGGAGTAGGAGTAGGAGGAGGAGGAGGGGGAGGAGGAGGAGGAGGAGGAGGAGGAGGAGGAGGAGGAGGAGGAGGAGGAGTCCTAGCCCCGTCCGATGCCCCCCCCCCGGGAAGTACGTCACCTGCGTGCCGCTGGCGGCGGGCAGCAGCGCCAGCCCGCGCGTGAGCGTCAGCTGCCCCGCCTGCGTCACGAGCCCCATGGCGAGGAAGAGGAGCCAGGTGCTGAGCTCCCGCGCCTCGCCTGGGACCCAGGGGAGGCAGGGAGGGAGGGAGAGCAGAAGCCCCCCCACTGTGTCCCCACGGGTCCCCTTAGCGAAGGGTGAGGGGGACCAACTCTGGCGCCCGTGGGTCTTTCCGCCGGGAGAGCAGAAGGGGGGGAAGGGAGGAAGACAACTCTTATGTTGTTCCCATCGCACTTAAGGACCACATCCCCGAAACCTGACCAGACAAGAACTGCGTATGGGGTTGAAGTGCAAGGGTGCAGAACCCCTGATCCGTTGGTAGAGAGAAGGAGGGATAGATTGATATCTTTCCCTCCCGCACGATCAAGGTCTGATCGATCTATCTCAATACCTGAGCCCGAACGGCCAGGCGCAGGAGAGGTAAGGATAAGGAGTATATATGAGGGTATTATGCGGGTTCCATTCGCACCCCCCGTCCCGAATCCCGCCCGTGAGGGCAGGACTCGGGAACAAAGGAAGGGAATCCGCCACCCATTTACTCATTTGGTCCTTAAGTCAGAAGGCAGCTGGGCTTAAAGTCAGCGAAGCCACAGCTGCAAAATGAAGTTAAAAGGAACACCCTGGGTCCCCCTTTCTTCGCCAGGCACGCTTTGGTGCCCCCTCGGTGCGCCCCCCAAAACGCTTCGGCACTCGAGGGCGGAGAAGAATGAGACAAGGGTGGGCGGAGAAAGAAGATCTGAGCGTTAAAGCAACATGCAAACTGCCTCGCTTTTGCGAGGCAGGTGTTGCCACCAGCTATCAGATTATTCTCGACGCAATCAGGTTTAAACTGTTAAAATATGCATGCTAAGATCGTGTTGACAAACGCGATCTTGAAATGAAACACATCTTTGTGTAAAAGCAAATGCCTGGCCAGACAGAATGTCGTGTTGATGAACACGAAAACTCATGTGTATAAATTCTGTTTGGCGGCTCCCGTTGGCGTTGCTCCTTAGGAGGCTGCCTCGGTTATCGCAAAAGGTATTTGTGTGTGGCCACTTGTGTTATATAATGAAGTGGCCTAAAAGTATGTAATAGCCACCGCTCAAGGCGAACTTTGGTTATATTGAAGTTCGTGCCTTTGAGCGGTGGGCCTTGCGGCCGACTCACTACGCGTTGCCGTTCTTGTAGAACCTACGGTCCCACATTCTCTGGCCGTTGTATGTCACGTAGCTCGTCGCGAATGTTCCCCAAGCCGTTCTCGGGATCCAGTTGCGAAACCAATCATTGTACGTGATGTCCTGGATGTATACGTACTCATCGTTGTTGATCGCGATGTAGATCCAACAGTTGATGTAGTAGCTCCAGTACCTGAGACCCCAGTAGCTGTCCTCGAGGTCGTCGCGCCAGTACGCGGCGTAATCTGATGTACGCGCTCTCTTGGCACGCGGCCCCGCGGGCGTGTAGTCCGTCGCGCCTGAGGCGCTGGACGCAGCAGCATCGCCAGGAGCAGGGCGCGGCGGTGGCCGCGGATGGCGCGGCTCCATGGCATCATCAGACTGGTGGGATTGTGTATCGGGATCGGTTCTCATCCCTGTATCGACCCCCCTCTGGTCGGTATGTGCCGGATCGAGGGAGCCTAACAACTCATTGGCAATCGCGGCCAGCTTGCGCTGAGTGAACTGTTCGCGGGTTCCGTCCCTTCTAGGGAGAGAAACCGTGACCAGTCCGCGAGCCTGCCGCGTCTGCCTGTCGAGGCGCCCCTCGTTCAGCCACCATTTCCTCCGACCAGCCTGTCCAGTTCTAATGCTGGCGTCGAGGATGTCCCACGCATCACGCATGTCCTCCACGGTCCAGGGCTTCTTGCCGATGTTCGCGCGGGCACCTGTCATTTGGTGGTGGAACTTGAGGTCGTTGAGAAAGCGTTGTACGAGATTGGCGAATGGGTAGTGCAGAGGTCGGTCGTCATCGGCTTCGCCCATCAGTCTGCACTCGTGTGCAGCAGGGCTACCTGATTCGACCCACTTCTGATACCTCTTTCTGGACGCATTGGCCAATCTCCGCAACTGATCTTTCTCATTGCCTGCGTGCGATCGCGCACCCGTCATAATGACGTGCGCACCGTCCTTCATGTATCTCGCGATGTGGTCCTCAGAGAGTGTCGTCTTGATCCAGTTCGTCAGCTTCTGGAGGTACGCGAGATCGCTCTGTGTGGCGGTGCTCTTACCCGTGGCGCCTACGGCCACGGTATACTGCCGACAGATATCACAAAGTGCGCCGTCACCTGTGACAATCCCAAGGGACAGATCTCGACCGCAATTCTGACAGAGCGGTATGGGATGCAAGATCGTCTCGGGGGCCCCTTCCGACGCGAGGTGATCGCGGGATCCCCGGCGGGTGTCCTGACCGCGAGCGAGGCTCTGGCCGATCTGATTGATCGCCTCACGATTGGTCTCGGTGTTCGGTCGGGAAGCGATTGATCTACTGAAACCCTCGATCTCGATCCTAGACAATCTTTCCCCTGGCAGTCCTTTGTACTCTATCTTGGTGTTGTCCGTATCCTCGGTACCGCCATGGCATACGTTCTCTTCACGAAGACGGCGAGCCTTCTCCTGCAAGGTAGCCTCGTTGTCGCCCTCCTCGCGCTTGAGTCCCGTCTGCTCGGCTATGGTACGTACCATGGTTTCCTGATCGGGAGCTGCAGACGCAACGCTGCCTGGATCTTGGGGAATATCCTGCTCAGCGCCTTGCTCACGAGGCGCGGCAGGTGTTTCCACCAGCTCTTCCCATGCAGGAAAGTCTGGATTACCGTATGTCTCAGTACATTTTTTGAATAGGTCACGCAATGCCTGGAGTGCAGGATGTTTCTCATGGATGGCCTCTTTGGTGAAATCTGGAAGCTCCGCAATACTATCTTTCAAGATGTTCTGGTATACTTTGGAGATCCATTGAAAGATGCCTGTGGTCGACTCCTCGATGGTCTCTGGGTCGAGGTAATGTGCCAACTTTGAGAAGAAATGATCTGCACTGCAATTTGGTAAGTCACGTGCCCATTTGTGGGTATGATCGTAATTCAATTGGTATGACTCTGCATTCCATGCTTTCGATCCAAATCGAATCTCAAATTGTAAATGCGATTGTGTCATGTCCATTACAATTCTGTCCGCGCCACTGTGTATCTCGATGATATGTTTCATCTTGATCATAGGCGAAGCCACCAGCAGCTCCGATGTCCAACAATACACACGGCAGTCTTCTGACTGTCTAATCCATCTTGAATCCTCGTCGGGGTCGTAATCTGGATGGTTAGGGAAGTCCGATGGCGGGTCAATGATGTTGTCGAGTATGCTCGCCTCAATCTGCTCATCTGCTTGGATGTCTGCCGAGAGATCTGCTCTCATGTTGTCGTTCGCAGCTTTCTCATCAGCGGTGAGCGTTATGTTCGATATGTCCACGATTACGGTGATCAAATGATCATGCGATGATACTGCAGTCTGTCGAGGATTGTCGCCCGTATGAGCGTTGTCCTCGGCAGGTGTGGCCACCAGCTCGTCGGGATCGGGTGTCCGAGGGGCGGGCCTTCTGGGCGGTGTACGCGGAATACGTGGTCTATGAATGCTCGGCATACCAAGGTATGGTAAACTGCCATCAGTCTTGTGCTGGAGTATCTTTTCGCTGCATGATGTCGGACCTTTCAGGACGGTCTCCATATATGTTGGGTCAATGGCGTGTTCTTCGGTACGAATCGGTAATGCAAAGACAACGCCCATTGAGGGGCATGCTTTTGTCATTATACCATATGTTTACCCATCGTAAACCGTAGTTGAGAATAGGTACTTGTACCGCAAAGAACTTGTCGAAGATGCCGAAATGGATGATTGGACCATATATGTGTCCCTTGGTCAAGGCAATTTTGGTATTGTGATTGCTCTTGGGCCAGTGATTGTCGTAATGAAAGCATTTGGTAGAACCCCAATTCTTGACGACAGTGAAGTCTCCCATTCGAACATCATTAAATGCAGGGCGACGGTCACAATCTTTTTGCGTGATCTTCGACGTGATCGGTCGAAGAGCTTCGCGACAGTGTGACAAGGCAATTAACCATTCTTTATCATCCGCTTTGTGATTGGTCTCCCGAATCATAGCGCGGACTATTTGTTCATCCAAGGCGTCGTCTGCAGATGTACGGCTAGCAGGGGTTTCCCCCAGCTGGGCCGAAGGTGCTGATGCTGACGTTGTCCTTGGAGGCTCCATGTTCTGGTCGGGGTCGATAGGTGCTATCCCAGGAGGGTCGTCGATGAGCTCTCCAGGAAGGTAGGCGCAAATCTCGTACTTGCTCAGTGGCGGTCTTGCTGCCAATGGCGGGTAGTCCCATGGGTCTCCATCTCGCCATAACTGCTGGCCATGCATGTGGTGTGGTTTGAGGCGGCGAATTGCAATAATTGCCGCAGCGGGTACCACGTCCTCTGTCATGATAGCGCCCTGAGCACCCAGCCAAAATCTGCAACCCGCTTTTGTGGCGATCTCCATGTTGATCACCAGCTCGACCTCGTTCTTGTAGTTATTGAACTTGTATGATTCCACTGAAGTGTGTGGATTCTGTTGGACATTGTTCAAATATGTGCTAGAACTGAAGAATGCCTCAGAGCGCTGTGATGGTTTATGATGTTTGTCTCTCTGAGAAGATGGATCAATGTATCCAGGAATGATCCCTGTCTTCAATCTGTTTTTCCAAGCGCGGGATGCTGTGCCGTGATGGAGATATTTAACATCTGTCCATTGTAGACTCTCCCATCCCATATTCCATGGCTTGGAAGATGGATTGACACAACTGTGACCACCAACGCACCGAATAGCGATGACGCTGTTCCAATCAAAAGAACTGGGGTCACCTCCCTCAGGGATCGGCTTGGCATATATCTCGATTCTGTTTTTCTGCGAATCAATATGTTTCTGGAACGCACGAATGATGAATATCGGGTAGTTGTCGTTCCAATCGGCATATCCATCATTTTCACCATCTTTCTTAAAATGTGCCGCTGCCGCTTCCATGGATGGTCCATTGTGTCTGTCTTTGCGA